CCTGGTTGTGGACCTTAGAAACCTCTATGCCTGCAATCAGGTCAATCCACGAACCCTGCCCAGCCCAACCCACGCTTCCACATACATTTACCACGAGCTCTGACGTTGTCAGGTCTGCTTTGGGTGATGGCTGTTAGCAACAACCACGTCAAGACGTAACAACCAGCGTGGATTTACACGTTTGACAAGAGCGCACAGCAAGAAGTCACCTGTGCCTGCAACAAGTTGCCTGAAACCAACCTAGTGCGGAAGTGGGCTCGGGAGGTGACACATTGTAGTGACAGTTCAAAGCCCGATAATTTGTCTGTGCACAACAGAGTTGGCGCGACAAAGCTCTAAAGCACAGGATGCAGTGAGCACAGCGCTGCAACGCACAAGGGAACACCACAGCGTTGCAGCGTGCAAAGCCGTGCCACTGCACTCTGAGGGGCGTCAATCTGCACAAGAGAGGGGCTGTGGAGCCTCTCGTGGACGTTTCGACCCACCACAGCTCACAAGACAAACCCCACATCAATTGGGTAACACACTTGCATTGTTGGATTCGTACAGGCGCACGTGCACCCGCTCGTGCACACTGCTGTGCACCAACTGCCAGCCGCAGCCGTCCTTGACGTGAGGGCGCTTGTGCGGGGACAGAAGCACAAGCCACTTCGCCGCAATAGATAGCTCGTGTAGCGTCGTGAACAGGCGCGAGTCATCCAGCAGGTGCATTGCAAAACTGCACATCACCATGTCAAAGGCCCGACCCTGCAGGCAGCCCGCCTGCACATCCTCAAACGACCAGCTCACCACATTCGGCAGTCCCGTGCGTGCGCGAAACGCGCCTGCTGTAAATGGGTCTGCAGCGGTCAGCAGCAAGCGCCCGAGTTGCGGCGGCACCACCGCCCGCAGCCAGCCGTACAGCGCCAAGGATGCCTCGCCACTGCCGCAAGCAAGGTCCAGCACTCGTAGCGTGAGGTCGCCCCCGCCATTCAAGCGCAGTGCATTGCAGTCCTCGGTCGGCGGAGCTTGCGTGGATGCTGCGACCGGGTTCAGCACCCGCAAGAAGCCACCGTTTTCGCCGCTTTTCTCGCCTTCAAAAACGTCTGTGAGGGCTGCTGACAGCGCCACTGACAAGGCTGCGTCATGAGGGTTGCGGTAGCTTGACCCCTCCTGCTTATAGTAACCACTGACGCCTTGGGCCGCATATGCCTGCCGCATGGCAGCCGGCTGGGTGAGTAGTGTGCCTATCAGTTGACTGTCCAGCCCCGCGCATCACCATATGTGGGGGTGCCCAGGCGCTGCCGCTGCGCTGGTCCTGCCGCTGCTGTGCTGCTGCTGCTGCCACTGCTGCTGCTGCCGCACACTGTCTCTGATTCTCCTCGAACTGCCGCTACAACTGAAGAGCGCAGCCGCGCCGATGAAGACGGCAGCACGCCAGGAAGCAGCTCCAGCCCAGCAGCGGGCAGCTCGCTGCATCAGCAGTGAAGCAGCACGCGCCGGGCCGTGTTGCCTGCGCGTGCCGGTCCTGCCTGTTCCTCGACACCCCCAAAGATATCTCGAGAAATGGAAGGCTCACAGCCGCGCTTGCTTGTGCGATGGTCGCCTCGGGATCGTCAGTGAGATGCAGATCGCAGTCTAGCTCATGGATTCAAGGCGAACCCACGGCACCGGGTTCTTGACGGTGCATTCAAACTTGGTTGTCAACGGTTTGGGGTGCATCGGCCTCTGCATGTCACTCGTGTGCGCTTCGTTCGTCGCCAGGCGGCCAGCCATACCGTAGTTTTGGCACCCGCACGTCAAGACGTCGTCGGACGCGCAGCCACACCCACACAACAAATGTCCCTACTTTACACGGCGCTTTAGTGGCCTGCCCGGGCTGTGAGCAACTGCACCATTGCGGATGCATTGGTCTCGTGCGGTCAAAGTGTCAAATCACTGTTGCCAATGGACTGCGCCTGGCTTTGTCACGCATCACTACCCTCCGCATATATAAGATCACAACAAAAAAGCACACCCTGAGATGTGTCCTTCCACTTTTTACTTGTGGTGCTCCCATTGTGCGACGTCTGCACCCTCGCAAAACGCGCGCTCCATGTCGCTCATCACACGGCCGCCCAGCTGCTTGTCGGTCCGCGCGCGCCGCCGCGCCTCGTAACCCTCGTACCCTGGCGCAGTACGGAGCGTCTCGACTGTTATGGGGTTACTGCGCAGCAGTAGCGCCGCCAAGCTAGTGCAGGACACAAACAGGCCCGGTGGCAGCGCTTTTATCCTTTGGGAGGGCGGCCGCAAAGTAGGGGTTTTGGGGGTTGGAAGGGGTGAGAGTGGGACAGGGCCGCTGGAAAGACCAGGGAAGGAAGCATGGCATGGCGACCTGCTGGCTACAAAGCTACTGCAAAGCGCACTGGCACGTGCTGTTGTACCACCAAACAAAGCGGGCACAGCAAAACGTGTGCAGAGCATGGCAAGCTGGGGGGCACCTGTTGTTGTCCAAGCGCAGGCTCTGCAGCCTCTCCAGGCTGGTTACGGCATGCGGCATGGCTGTGAGGCGGTTTCCACAGGCGTTGAGGTCCTGCAGGGCGGTGCAGCAGCCTAGGATAGACAGAGCGGGTGGTTGATGTGAGCGACACGTGGAAGCAGGCCGTTCCCTCAATGAATCAACCAAGGACCGAGCGCCACAGCAAGTTGCGACAAGCGTTTCAGCCAGCACATGGGCCAGCTCACCAGTCGTCTCTGGCAGCGCGGCTAGCTCGTTTTCAGAAAGATCCAGCTCACGCAGTGCCACCAAGCCGCCGAGAGCGCCCTCCTCCACCTCGGCAATGCGGTTGCCGCTCACGCTCAGCCGCACGAGCCCGCTGCAGGCCCCCAGTGCAGCCGGCAGGCGTGACAGGGCGTTGCAGTCCATGGCCAGCAGCGTGAGGCCCCGCAGCTGCGCCAGGGCGGCCCAGGGCAGCCCGTCATCCTGCAGCATGTTTCCCGACAAACGCAGGGACGCCAGCGACGCCAGCTGCGAGATGCCCGCAGGCACCACAGACAGGCGGTTCTGCGGGAGACGCCAGCGTCGGTGGTTGAGTGCTGGTATGCGGTTGCTTTGCAGCCGCCCAGGCGGTTGCAAGCTATGCTTCTCTGGCATGTGCGGCGGCCCGTTCTTAATTGTGCTCCCTGCAGACACTAGTTGTTTGCCTTGCTCCCATCCAGCATGCAATGCCTATTAGCTCCAAGCCAGCGAGGAGTGCCAGGCCCCCGACCAGCATGCCACCCCACGCCCCCCAAACAGCACCAAACACCTGGCTGAGGTCGGCGCCACGCACAGAGTCTGGCAAGCCTTCAAAGCACTCCGGCGGCACCGCATCCAGCCCCAGGTCACGCAGGGCCACCACGCCCATCTTGGCCCATGTCGTGCGGCGATCAGGCAACGTCGCTGAGTTCCCTAGACGTACGCCGCTGCCTTTGCTGCTGCCGACTCCCTCGCTGCCCACAGCCGCTCTGCTTGCTACAGCAACAAGCGGCTGGCGTAGGGCCGCTGCAGGTCTGCTCCCTACCGCGGCGTTCCTGGTCCCTTGCGGCGCCTGAGAGGGTTCCGTGGGTATGGATGTGCGAGCGGGAAGCGCGGACCAAACACCTTGCGTGGCGCCGTCGCGCGAGACCTGTCTCCGCTCATGGTTCAATTTTGCCAGCGTGCACATTCTAACCATTGCCCCGATGTGCTCACACACGCACCTGCACGGCATTGGCCGACACCAACAGCATAAGCTTGGCGCCGTCGCCGACTTTGGCCGCTGCCAGGGTAACCTTGTCCTCCAGCACCTTGCCCTTGAAGATCAGCTTCTGGTGGCGCACGAACACACCAGTCAGCAGCTCAAGTGTCTCCTTGAGGCTCGCTACCTGCGCGACATCCGGCCGCGCACATTGGGGACGAGCCGTTGCATTCTGTTGCAGTGCTGCGCAGCAAAATCTAGGTGTGTCGCAGCAGGCGCAACACAGTACCCCTTCAAGGGGTTCGCAAGGCGGTTGTGAGGACGCCCAGCAGCGGCAGCAGCAGCGGCAGCAGCAGCGGCAGCAGCAGCGGCAGCAGCAGCGGCAGCAGCAGCGGCAGCAGCAGCGGCAGCAGCAGCGGCAGCAGCAGCGGCAGCAGCAGCAGCAGCATCGTCCGGGGCCCACCGTCGCGGCTGCCTCTATCCCTTCTACATCCACGTCACATCCACCGTGCTTGACGTGCACTTTCATCGGTATTGTGGTGATTCAGCTTTGCCTTACATCAAAAGGATGCACACATGTATCGTACAGATCGACACAACTGACAGAACTCGCGCAAGGTATAAATTACGTTATAAAATCCCGGGGTTGTTCAACAATGCGGCTAACGGTAGCCGCTTGTTCCAGTTGGCATGTCATGAGCGTCACCGGGGCCCGCATCTGGTGGTCGGCCCAACGCAAACATCAAGCAGCCTCTGCTGAGTGCAACCCGCTATCCGCCTGCCCTCCGTCAACCCATTGCACTGTAGTCAGTTGAACGCTGCTGGGCTGGAATCTTGTTACTTGTTTGGCAATTCGTCACCACAGCAGCGATGATGAGAAGCCCAGAGGCGTGTCATGGTCGTCCCCCGATACGGGCGATGCCTGCCACGAAGCGATGCCTGCCATACTTGCGCGGGCACGTCCAGCCAAGATTTGCCCCAATCGGATATTGCCTGTCTCCGGGTCACCATGGTCACAGAAGGCGTGTGTGACCTGTTGAAGCTGCCTTGGCAATCAACGGGGGGTGAGGGCGCGGGTTGCATGAGTGGCGCAGGGGCATGTCTTGACGGCGCCGCTCACACGGCCGAGCAGCACCCTGCGGCTGGGTTGTTGCTGCATACGGGCCACATCGCCGGCAACCATGGGATGTGGTTCCCCACGGTGTGGGTGTCCATCATCAGGTTCAATTGGATACTCCCTCGCTCCTGCCTATCTTGAGGATCGGAGGAGATCAGGACCTAGACTAATTGCTTTGTTGCTTCAGAATATTTGTGGACCCTGATTTCCCGCCTCCTACGGGTACCTCCAGCTGTTGATGCTTTGGGCAGGAAGGGAGGCCATGCTGGCGGGGCGACAGTTGACAACGGTGTCAAGTAGGCCCTCAGTAGGCATTGGTGTGTTCGTCTATATTTGATTGGTAAGAAATGTTTGAATGGACGGGCTGGGGCGACCACTTCCCAAGCAGCCCGCACCCCTGTGCCCATGTCGTTTGTCGCAGTGCAGTCACCAGTCCTCACCGGAGGGCAGCAGCGCCATTGCGGCCCAACAGAATGATTGCTGCACGAGTGACCAGGCATTGACAATGGTTAAAATTATGCTTCGCGTCCCACTCCTCTCTCCGAAACTTCTCTTTTCCCGTTGCTCGCACGTCGTCGAATCATGACGTTGTCGCACTTTGAGCTGGAGTGACTGCCGCTGAGGCTCTCTTGCAGCCAATGCATCCGCTGCATTCTCTTATTGTCGCAACACATCTACTGATTGTGATGTTTGGACGGGGTGGCTGACCAGGCAGAGACCACCACCCCTAATGTGCTTGCTACAATCAGATGGTCCCTCCAGCATCCTTCGCTGGACCGTCGTGCTCCTGGTTCTGGCCATTCAAAGCACAGGTGATGCGGTTTACAATTGATTCCAGCACATCGCACCTGCACAGGTTTCGGTGTACGTGCCGCCGCCGGCGTCATGCCCCAAACAAGCTCTCACGTGCAGTGTGGTGGCTCACACCCGCCGGTCAGGCATCATGGCAGACTCTGCAGAGGGGCTTTCCCTGCAGTACAGCCGCATACTGGACCTCCACAATCAGCATCGCAAGGACCATGGCGCTGACCCCCTGACATGGGACCCCAACCTGCAGAAGAGCGCCCAGGAATACGCGATGCAGGTGGGCCGGCCGCTGGCGCGGCGCTGGCGTGGTGTGGTCCACCCCTTGAGGCTGCTTGCCCAAATTCCGAGTCATCCATGCAACGGAAGTGTTCAGAGCTGCACATTTGGGCGTCCACAGTAAATGGATAACAGCAAGGGCCCCTCAACGAACAACAAGCTGGTGCACACAGGCGCCGCCACGCAGGCACCCACTCACACAGCCTGTCCGTACATTGCCCCTCTCGTTCACAGTGCACTTGGGAGCACTCCGTCAGCAAGGTGCGCAATGGCGCGGGTGAGAACATGTACTACAGCACTGGCTACCCTGTGGCCACCGTGGGGGACCGTGCTGTGCGCAACTGGTACCAGGAGGCAGCCGACTACGATTGGGCATCGCCCGGGCAGCCAATACAGGGCAAGGAGAGTGCGATACTCGGACACTTCACGCAGGGTGCGTGGGACTGTTGCCGGGTTCTAGGCCAGGGAAGCGGCAGGCACTTTTTTTTATCCATTGCTGCTCTCAGGCGGCAGCAAACCGTACGGGCATGATTGTGTGTCTTGCTCAATGGTTCAGCGGACCGTCATCCTTCCCCCGCAGTGGTGTGGCGCACCACACAGCGCATTGGATGCGCGATGACCAAATGTGTTCGGCTCGTGGGAACTCCCTACCACAACACCAACTTTGTGGTTTGGTGAGCAGCTGTGAAGGGCGAACGCGTGTGCGAGCATGGTGGCGCACGCATGCGTGCGTGCGCGCGCGCATGCCTTTGTGCGTGCATGTGTGCGCATGCGTGCGAGCGCGTGTGCCTGCCCGGGGG